AGAAAGTTCAGACTAGCAATCATACTGAAAGAAAACTTCACTACACTAGTAGCAAATATGCTAAGAAAGTTGAATTTAATCTTACTCAAGCAACTTTTAACAAGAGCAAGAAATAGATTAATAACCTGGTAATAACTGAAAATCTTGAAAAATAGCTCAAGTAAAAGTAAAAAAGCAAAGTGGTTTCAAATAATAGAAAAAATAGTGTTAGAAGATGAAAAAAATAGAACTGTTAGAGCAGAATTTAAACTAGAAAATTTAAACTTCTGGATGCTCTAGACGAATTCAAAACTACTAAAAGAAGATAATAAAAAAAAAGAATAGTTATTAGTTCAAAATATGGAGAACAAAGAAATAAAGATCCAGTTATTAAAAAACTTTTAGAAGAAAAAAGAAGAGCTTACAAGTAGAGTACTGGAAAACAAAAAAAGACCCAAACATTTCTTTAACTCAATTAGAAATTGCAATGATTGTGAGCTAAACAAAGAGAAGAACAGAAGTGGCTACAAGGTAATGATTAAGAAGAAGGAAGCACTAGGATCTATTTCAAAATTCATAGATAAACCAAAGGGAAATATTCTTAAAATTAATCAAGAATCCTTTATGCTAGTACAAAGATTCTTCAAACTAGAAATTTCTTCAAATAAAAAAGAAACATAGGAGATTATATGCTTTGATTTGGATACTGAAGTTATTAAAAACAGCACATTAGTTATAAGATGCAAGATGACTTTATCAAGAAAAATTTAGCAGCAAAAAGGAGCTCTTAACAATAACTGATATTCTATACAGACAGATCTTTAAAACACAATGATAATATCTCACAACATAAGCCAGACACCATGGGAGTTAGCTGGATATGGTTAAACAAAGACGAAAATAAAATTTTAGATGAGAGTTGCTTTGGAGCGAGAAACTGACCATCATTGACAAAAGCTAAATTGCTTAGAATATGGTACGCACTGCTTATTGTACTAAGTAATAAAAAAGTCAAAATCTATACAGATAGTGTAGTAGCAATAGATAGTATAGAAAGAAGAAAAAAAAAAAGACAAATATAGCAGATAATGAGTGAAGAGAATTATAGTTTGTTAGAAAATATAGTAGAAATAGTTGAGATTAAGGATATTGATTTAAAATTAGTAAAAGTTAAGAGTCATAGTAAAAATAGATAGAATAACAGAGCAGATATTTTGACAAAAAAGAGAGCCAAACTAGAAGAAGTAGATAGTATTATAAATAAACCTTCTCAAGAGTCAAATATCTCTTTGTGTTGAGAAAAAATAATAATAGAAGACCCTATTAGAGAATTTATACAAACAGTTTTTAACTTTTAAATAGGTATAGAATAGAGATCTATATCAGTAATACAGAAGAAAAAAAACAGAAAACTTCACAAATACGTATCACTGACCTATCTTGTGAAGGAAAATTAAAAACCAAACTGGAATTAGATATACTAGTGCAAAAAAGAATAAATAACTCAGAGTGCTGATCAAATGCCTTCATGAAAAATTACCAGTACTTAAAACATTAGCTAATAGAAGATCAGATATATATAAAATCTCACAATATATAGTTTGTGGAAAAAATAACGAAGAATATCAAGACTATTTGACAAAATATGAGAAATATGAAGAAAAATAGAGTGAATTAAAGCAGATAGTATCAAACATAGCCTAGTTATCCCTATCCAAAAAAGCAAAAAATTAACTTGACAAGATACATCTCAAGACTCTCTTTTAAGAATTATCAAGAGAAGAGAGAAACAAAACAAGAGTTGGGATTCTCAAAGACCTGATCCAAGAAAAAATTTTTAGAAAGTTCCTTAATATTATCAAACTCTTAAAAAGTGAAGAACTATATAGAGTTCACAGTTAACTTATCTTGAAACTTCTTTTATGAAAACATATAGAAAACAAGATGTATTGCAATTAATGTCTGGGAGAAGAAAGAAGGAATAGATACAAAGCAAAAGAAGAAAAGCAAATCAAAATCAAGAAGCTCAAGTATCAACATGATACAGATATTTTTAACTACAAAAGAAAACTCAACAAATCAAGACTATACTAGAGAAAAAGTCAAAAAAAAAGAAAAAATAGATAAAGAGAAGAAAAAAAAAAAAAGTTTTTTGGTTAGCATCAATCAAAAATTATGTTATAAATAAAGTGAAACCTTTTTGGTACAGTTTTATAGGCTAGCTTGGTGCAACCCTCTGAAGCAGACAAATACTTTAACCAGTATAGCAGACTACTCTTGGGTGCTCTAAGAAGTAGCTAAAAGATATCAGATCTATAGTTTAGATAATTAAATATATATATATATATGTATATTTTGATTTAGTAAAGATACTAACGAAACTGTCAATAGTAGAAAAAAAATTTTTATTGAGAGGTTGTTGAGATATCTTCAATCAAAATTATACACAAGTTTGCTACAACTTATATTGCTTAAAAATTTTATCAAAAATATCTCAACAACCACTAAGTAAATTTAATAAATTTTTTTTAATTTGAATTTTATGGATTAACAAAATTTAAATAAAAAAATTTTTACTAAATTTCATTAGGTGATTGTCAAGATAACTTCAATGAAAATTTTGAAAAAATTTTAAATATCTATTAAAATATTAATTGTGCCAAATTTATATATGACTTTGATCAAAAGTATTTTGATAACCACCTAATAAAATTCAATAAACTGTTTTTTATTTGAATTTTATAAATTTATAGAATTTAAAAAAAAAATTCATTAAATTTCACTTAGTGATTGTCAAGATACTTTTAATAAAAGTTTTAAAAATAAGTGATCTATATAGAGTATGAAAATACCAAAAAAGAGATGTAAAAATACCAAAAAAGAGATGTAAAAATACCGGTTTCCTAAAAAATTGGTAAACTGACAGATGCAATTATATTGGCTTTGTGATTATTTAGAGGGTGACTACAAAGAAGTTAGACTGTATATATAATTATAAAATTTTTTTGTTTTGAATATTAATGATAAGATCAATAATTATAAAAATTAAAAAAAAATTATAACAATAATTACTAATCAATTTTATTGTTAAAATTTCTATTTTTGAATTCTATACTATCTACATATTTTTAATCTTTGAATAAAAATTTTTTGACAACTACTTGACAAAATTTGAAAATAAATTCTACTATTTTATAGAAATGTCCATCGAATTCTTTAAAATAGTTGTAAGAAATTTTTGTTCAAAGTTTTTGCTACAGCTATTTTCTTAAAATGCTATAAAAAATTACCCAAACTTGAACGAAATTTTTTTGTCAACTACTCGATAGAATTCGATAAAATTTTTTTTAAATGAATTCTACTAATTCCTAGAATTGATTTAAAAATTATTTGCCAAAAAATTCAACTCGATAGCTTATGTACGTCACGAATCACGTGGTATTCGTGCGCACAGAATCGCGTGACCCGGCACGTGTCCGTAAACGGTCCGGTCCGTTCACTATATGGCCGACTTGTCTTATGATTATGGCACATAAAATATCGTATAATAAAGTATATATACAAATAAATATCATAGTGACAATATTTACTAGTTTGTAAATGTATTATAAAATATATATATATTATGCAATAATGCTTTTTAGAAATCACTTCTTAAAACAGTACCGAGATTCTAGAAAATTAACAGAGCCAATATTATGTTTTCCACGATTTTTTTGAATTGCCTGTAATCTTGTGATCTGATTAGAGGTGCTGTAAAAACTGTTACGGCTTATGCAGTAACTAGTTACGACATAAGCTTTAACCAAACCCGTCAATCACCCGGGTGACCCGCGGATCCACCCGCTGGGTGACCCGGGTCACGTTTTTTTGGACGGTCCAACCTCTAGACCCGTCAGATTTGTCCCTTAATATCGATTTTTTCAAATTTCTTACTGCTGGCTTCTATAGATTTTTGTGCGCTCTTAGTATCTAATGTGTTGTCAGCTAAAATATAATCAGATGAATTGTGTTCGCTCAAAAATTGGTAACATTCTTCCATATCATTGAAAGCCAATTCTGTTCGTATGAACTCCATTTCCAAAGTAGGACGGAAACTATGTATAAAAAATTATTTAATGTATCTTAAAAAGTAGATCCCTTTTTATGACGAAAATTTGTACTTACGCTTTGCATAAGGTCTGTAAAGCAGCAATTCTTTCTCTTTCAATGAAATGATCCATAAGATAAGCTCCCATATTAGGTGCCTTTAAGTATAATTGGAAGAATTTATGGAAATTTGATGTAGCCAGAGTGGATCGCACCTCTAATGCATGCTTAATCGCTTCGTCATTCTTCATTTCATCCGTGAGTTCAGCGATCAAAGCGTTGATATCTGTTAATAAGAGGTATAAGATTTATATTAAATTAACTGATAAATATATCTTAACCACAAAGGGAAAAATGTACCTGAACGATTTCTCGTGTACAGAAAGTAAAGGAGTCGATATGCCATAAACTCCATGACTGAACCTGGAATATTCAATCTATAAAGCTCCTTTAGTTGCGTTTGACATTGATTGTACTCACCCAAATCGCTCTATTATAAAATATATATCAATTAAATTGATACATAGAAATTTTATAAATTTTAAATAAATAACATAAACCTTTTCAAGTGCAATGCGAGCATGTGTCTCATATACTTTTACGGTGAATTCAGTTTTAATGTGTTGAACCTTGGGTCATCAGATACATTTTTATTAGAGACTGCAAATATTATAAAATTAAATTAGATAGAACAGTTGACCAACCGTTAAATCCTGACGTAAGGATTTGAATTGATCGCAAATATATGTATAATTTTGATCTTCGACCCATTTTGCTTTTAAAAACTCTAAAGTCTGCTTTAATATTCGTAAGGGCCTAACGGTTGATGGATCAGGTGCCTTACAGTTAAACGTAATATTTAGTATAGCGAATTGAGTATCAAAGAAGAAGCAGAACAAATTTATAATAAGATTATTGGTACAATGCACATGTATTTATATACACACAGAAGTCAGGCGTAAATATGACTTTTCAAGTTTCTGACAAGTTCCGACAATTGTTTGATCCACATCAATCTCATCTAATTGCTGTAGAAAGGAAATGATAGCAATAACAATGATGACCAAAAGCCAAGTAAACTATTAAGTCTTATATTATGTACTAAAAATTTGTTTGCCGCTTACCACCTTTTTTTTTTTTTTTAATACTTTCAGAACCCCTATATGTTTTCATAAAAGAAGTTTCCAGATAAGTTAACTGTG